CAATGTTTTCTTGTAATAGACCCATTTGTCTTTATAAGAGTCAGACACATGCATCAAACTATTGTAAATTTCAACTGAGTTCAGACGTAGAGAAAAACCTCGGTCCTATTCCAATGTACATTGATCCTAGCAAAACTATATTGGCACCACATAGCCAAGCTAATGAATTGGTATTTGGACAGAATTCAGGACAACTATGTGTTACAATGAGTTTATGCTCTTTGATTTACAATAACAAACAAGGAATCAATTCTGCTAATGATCTCATGTCAATAATGAATATCGGAAATCAGTTGTATTCAAGTTTGTCTCAGTTAACCAGACAATCATTTTTAATGCAGACAGAATTACCCACACTTTTAAAAATGTTCAAGACTGACTATGAACTTCGATACAGTGAGAGCTACACTGGTACTATACATCAAGAAGCTACAGTAGAAGGATGTCAGTTTGGTACCTCCTTAAATAGAGTCTTTCAATCACTTATATCCAAAAATTTCAACAATTTTGTCTTGACAATAGGATGTACTGCAGTTGCTATCTATTGTAAAGGTAATGTGGGCTTGAATATATTTGATTGTCATGCAAGGGATAGAAGCCATCCTCAAGGTACATGTGTGCTGCTTGAAGTATCATCACTGAATAGCTTAGTACATTATTTTCAGAGTATACATAATGATGATATATTTGAATTGAAAGAGGTTAACATTAATAAAGTTCAAAATAGTACCCTTTTTCAGAGTCATGCCTGTGAAACCAGAAAGTTCAATATGAGCTGTGCTATGACTGTTTATTCACTCTGCTACTCTGTAATAAAATCATGTAGTTATTGGAATTCAAACACCTTATCTGATGTTATTCATTAAGGCAAAAGATTATACGAAAATTCATCTTTGAACAAGTATTTACTATTAGATGATTTGCCAAAAACTGTTGATGTTTGTAGAACTGAAGTAAGTTTAGATCTTAAAAGTGATTACAGTGAAGGAATATTGTTTGATTCAGTTGACAGCAAATCACTTCTCAAAAATCTTGTAAGAAATAATAGTGAATGCACAGGGTTTTTGATGTGGTTATCAGTTTTCTATATGACATGTATTTTTAAACCCACAAAAAGGTCAAAATATGTCTGATTTTGTTTGTGCGAGCCTTTTATGTGTACGTTGTTTTTAAAATTGATTATTAATATTAAAGTATAAAATAGACCTCTTGGCAATGTAAGATAACTCACTAAACTTATTAGTGAAATTTTACATTGTCAAGAGAGGCGTGAAAATGATAGTTATTCACTATCACTTCCTTTACTTGATCTGCCACCTGCTTTTCTTGCTGATGGTGGGGCACAACCGGAGATACAATAAAGCTCACCCTGGAATATGCACATGAACCATTAAAGAGAGTACCTCTTTCCGTGCCAATATTCTTAATATGCTTGATATCTAAGTCATCGATTAGTAATATTTAAGTAATGATAAAAGTGAGAAATCAGTAGTTTGAAATGCACCAGTACATCACTACGCCAGACACCCTCATCCAGAGTTGTGTGGAATTCATAACAGCCTTGTGCACTGGTTTTATTTCATGATAGGCAATAAACCTCCAAGAAATTTCAAGAACTCCCTTAGAACATTCAATTTAAAAGTGACGATTTCCAGTTGAGTTATTAGGTTAGCCAGAACTCTGTTCTCTGCTGAAAGTATAAGAAACCTTCTCAGGAAAGCAGAGAAGAAAATTAGTTTATCTCACCACGTGGTCCTCCATCTCGGGCCATGGTAGCCAACTTGGTGAAAATTGATCAACAATCCCATTTTAAAGAGAACGAGAGAATATGGGTAGTTACCAGTTTGCTCGGCTCCCAGCTATATAAAGAAAAACATAAGAGGATGTGTGGAGGCTAAAGCCATTGTGTATCAGATTATTCACTTTGATATATAAAAGTCATGTATAATTTTCGTGTTTAGGGCCGACATATACAGTATGACTTAATCGCATGCGACAAGCTTAAGGTTACTTCCCTTCGCGGGTGTCCTTCGGGAAAAAATTCGTTTGTGCGCTAGTTTCACTAAAATCCTAGCAAACTATATATCGGAAGAAGCTTCATAAATGCAGTTTACGATAAAAATAGACTTAAAGCAACCTCTCTTTTAAGGAAGTGTCAGGATCCGGTAAGGCGTGAAACAATGGAAGGGTCTTCTATTGAATTTATCGGGTATGGGATGCTGCAGCACGAGCCAATTGGCTGCACAGTCTTATTTACAAGGCGTCAGTCAACAAAAGTGTAGTGATATTCTGATTGGTTGTCTAGAGCAGGAGTTAACTGTTGTATTCCAGCACTGTTAATTTCCAGCCCCACACAGCTGTTCTGAGATTACTAGCAAGAAATAAATATTATTTTCCAGTACTTACTTGTATTTTCAGTTGCATACTATTCTTCCCACATTTCCTGATAAATTAACCTGTATTTAGTGGACACTTCTATATCATAGACACTGGGGAAGGTTCCCAGAGGTTATCTTTGATACTTTTATAATAATAGAGGTAATAGCTTTCACTGCAATTTTAAGTGATTTAATTTTTGAAATACAGTTAACTTCTCCACTTGTCACACAACACCTGTGCAAAGCGTGTCAATTACAAATAACAAATATGGAGAGTTGCAAATTACATTCAATACTTTATAATGTAAGCAATGTGTTCCTTATCATCAATTTTCCAGTGTTTTCTTTCCATTTACAGACTCAAGAGACTGCAATGAAAAAACAAATTCAAACAATTTTACCTCACTTCTTAAAGCAAGAAATCACAAGACTAAACAACAAGTATAGAAACTTAGACATCCGTAGGCTAAATCTCTGATTCAAAAATAAAAAATTACCCCTCTGCAAAAAAAAATTGTACCACTGTCTTTGATACCATCCTGTTACTCTCCTATTATTTATTTTTTTTTTTTACTTTTCTTTGCTTTTAATTTGTAAACACATATCATGCTTCTTCTCAATGGGAAGAGTTTTCAAGAAAACCCAAATAATAAAAGAGTATTGGCAAGAAAGATAACCAAATGAGCAGTGGTATCAAATTAGAGCTTGGAGCAATTAACTGACCTGAATGACTGCTACACACCATTCTTTTTTCCCATTCTTTTTTTCTATGTGAAACAGATTTTGAGCACAGAATGCAATACCTCACCAAACATCTGCCAGGATAACTCACTTAAAAGAGTGCATGATTATCATCTCTTGCTTAGACAGGACACGTCACTTCAATGTTTTTATTACTACACATATGGGGGCTTTGGTAAGATTGTGGAAAGGAGGGACAATGTTTGAGCAGCTGGGAGGGACCAAAATGACAGTGTGGTAGCCATTTATTCCCACTTGGATTGCAAAGTCTGGGGAACCTTTCCCTGGAAATTTAAAAGTTTGGATGTCCAAAAGGGTCCATTTTAGGTCACTATTTCCCAAGTTGGTTAAAAATTATAGCTGCTACGAGGGAGAGCATTGACACTGAATTAATGAATAGAGTAGCTTTTACATAACTAACTAGTATATAAACATTATACATAGCAATGTTGTCTCTGTGATGATGTCTGTGTCATCTT